CTTGAAGAAAGGAATTATATAAAGAGGCTTCAAGTGGATTAAGTACTGTCATCATATCGGTTTAATCAAGTATAAAATGTAACACTGGCATCAGGGTCATAGTAGAATTCAGTAATGCTATTAGAAATTCCACCTACTGAAAAGGAAATTACAGCCGAGTTAGCTCAGAAGGATTCGAGATTAGATTTTTTCAGTGGTTAAGAAACTCGGTGCCTTTCATCTGTTGTTCAGGAAATCTGTCCAGGTTTGATGAATACGTCACACTCGCCACCACTTTTATGTTTTCCTGAAATTATTTATTGATAATACGTGTAACGAACTTGTATGATCACAGTGAACACGGATAGAGAAGGGATACACAAGGAGAGAGAATACACACTCACAAGTAGGTTAACTAGTACGCAGCTATAACAATGGCCAAAAATAGGAGTTATTTAAATAGATAAAATCAGTTGATAGGCTGAACGTACTATTTCGAATGCTTTTGTGGTTCTGATTATACTCGAGGTTGTATAGAGTTTTCAGAAAACTCATCGCTGAACAGTACCCGGATTGATTGACAGCAAAATCCACTTGCGGTAATCTTTAAGTGTGAGGTCATCCAGGTCGTTGTTGTCTATGCCCCTAAATTATATATACAAGGATAGATTCAACCAACTCCAAGAGTCTGCATTTTCATATTATATGTGTAGCTAGAGCACTACCCATATGTGAAGACAAGTCTAAACTGCATTTAAAAACGTTTAGCTAGACGTATTAATGTTCTTTCTGGTTAAATTCATTACACCTCACTATTCTCGTGTTATAACTTATTATTATCATAATTCCATTTTATCGATTGCATTTAACCCACTTTAAGCCTCTTTATATTGACTGATTTCCCCAAAAAACATGTCTGTAACTCATTCACTTCCCCTATACTCCCTAACAGTTGTTTAAAGCACCCAATAGTTATGCGAATGTCTTGGAACATGATTCATAATAATAGAATATTCCTAATCATAAATGGGTAGTTAAATGATTTTAAGCTGCTATATGTGATTACGACCAACATATGTAGTATACCTCAAAATATGACGGAATAGGGATATCAAAAGCTGTACTTCCAATATTGTGGAAATACAGCATTTCTGGGAAAAAAAATATAAAATGAAGTATAACCATTCTTTCTGTGATACTGTAATCTGGATTAGAAATTGTCTACTTGGCAAATGCTTTCTGTATTCACTAGTCATCTAATCGTTCATGTGTTTGTCTACTGCCTCTGCAGATAAGTTGTTGTTAGAAAGTGTGTGCAATAGTGTTTACTCAACCATTACAGATATATGAGTTGATTATTAAGCTATCATCAGACCCATTTAGCGATGATGTTAGTTTTCGTAATATGCTACCAATAAACTACTTGGATCGGTAAGATCATCATTTGTTCTTATTCACCAACATGCGCAATTCCATTATTCTTTTATTAGTCTTACAAATTCATCAAATACGGTTTCCACAGATTTTTAAACTATGAACTCCAATATCTACATATATCACTTTACTGCAGTAACTATATGAGAAGTGGAAATAATATATTATCGTGATATAATGATCAATCCGACTTCTAGATATTTCCTCATATTATCAAGTCAGAAAATCTCCTAACGTCAGCAGCCATTATACTGAAAGTTACAATGACTGTCTCGTTGATCAACAATGTAGAAGTTGTTAGGCACTTTTCGAGCCTGGATATTGGACCATGAATGTTTTATCATGAGGCTTTTCGACATCTTCACTGCTACCTTCGCTAAAAAAGTTATTAAACAAGTAGTACTTCTTGAGTGAACTTTCTTAATGAAAATCTCCACAGGTTTTATGATGAAACGTCCACAATCAAATATCAAAGCTCGGAGGGTAACACTCTGAGTTGAAACTAAATCCTTGCCTTCAGGTATAATCCTCGTTTAGTAATGCAAAGAGATTTAATAAAACTGACCCCAACTGAAAATTACACTGCTTTAAGTTTTTGAGCTTTGATATAGCGCGAACTGGTGAACAAACGAAACCAGATTACGAAAGTATGACAAGGAGCCAATCATATACTGTTAACTTGTTTCTATTTGTAATTCCTGGCTGTCAACTTCTCAAAGCCGAATCAAATTGTCTTTTGCTCTCACACTTATATGCCTGTTACATGGATTCTTTTATGTTAACTTGATTTTCGCTTCGATGTTATTCATCTGACACAGTACAATGATGGAGACGGTTATGTCTCTGTGTGAAAAATCATCATTTTCTTTGATATACATGCTCTTGCAGCTGACGAAACTTAAATATAACAAACTGGATGCCACTTTCAGTCACCACCGAACGGATAACACATTTAATTGTTTTTATCTAGATCACAGGACCTTCGTCTGTACTGATTAGTCGCAAGCGAATTTATTTACCGATGGCTTATTTCAATGAGTCTTGACCAGCAATATTTTTTGAAATTCATGGAGACTCGAAATCACCAACAAATGTGAATAACTCATATATTTGTTTATTAGTTTGTTTTTACTACTCAAAGTTTTACTTGGTTTTGACTCCAGCACTACTCAGTGAATAACTTTACCCACACACCAGCTTAGTAGTTATTGTGTCCTAAAGCATTTCCATCCTAAGTATTCGCAATCGTACAGCGGAAAAAGTTACACTGTTAACCGTAATGCAATATTTTCATTCTGATAATCCTCCACATGCTTTGACGAACCTTAAGTTAGCAGTATGTGAGATAGAAGACGTGCATACAATCCAAGCTTGAACTGCCTTCTAGTAGCGGGAAACAAACAGCTTACTGACTTAACTCAAAGTTCCAAAGTAGCCGTAATTATGCTGTTTTTTTGCGTATGCTCTCGTAATCTGCAGTGAAGTAAGTGATAATTTGAAGAAATCAGTGTTCTCATCCATGTACGTCTCAATTCATTTGTCTGTAGTGGTTCAAAGGTTCACTGTAAAATAAAACGATTGTGGTGAATTAGTGTCACCTATAGATTGTATAATGTATGTGGTTCACTGGTAGAATACTCGTCACCCACCCACGTAGTCCGAGTCTGATTCCCTGCCAACGCACTCCTGAACATCGCTTAGCCGGTAGTACGTCCGGTAAAGAGGCAAGGCTATCGATCTTCAGCGCAGGTAAATGTACCTAATATTTAGTGGTTTACATATTAACGCACCTAACTTTAGTACAATAAACAAGAATTTAAAAAATATATATATATAAGTGTTACTGTGGTGTCTTCTCAGAAAGGAAGGAATTGTATAAGGCGTTTAAGCAAGAAGTAATAACTTTCTGAAGATAAGTGTACACCGGGCTGATTTATAGTGTACTTCCTTATGTAGGGTAATCAACTGTTGACTTCTTCCATCTTAACTAACCAATTTTGTGTGCGTTAAGGATCAAAATTCATAAACTTTATAGTTTGGTTTCCAATGCAACTGTCATCAACTTATGGATGTTTTATATTACGCTTGTAATTTTCTCAGCAAGTTGTTTGTTGACATATTAACAAAGTATCCTAAAAATGCATAGCCTTATCAGTTGACTTCACCTGACCACGAAAGTAATTCTTATCTCAGCCTTATTATCTTAACGATTTTACCTCATACATGCATTAAATTTCATAGCTATTTTCGTTCTAAATAATTATCGTTTACAGCTTTATGATAAGAAAAGCCAATAGCTGTTCTGTGAAATCTACTCCTACTAGATTTCAACATATTAGCTGTGTAAGATTTTGTCCTGATCTGTTCGTCTATGTGGTTGAAATAGTCAGTGAGGGCAATTTTTCACTGTTTATTGTCAGACTGGTAAATAACTAACTGTAGAATATTACTAAAAGGAAATAATCAAGACATTTTAAACCGCTAATCATCGTATCACTATACGATATTAGTAAAATTTGATATAAGTAAAACTGAATATAATTTCATAATTTGTATCTCCAAGCAACTATGACCGGAGAGAATAAGAGACAGGGAACTCTGTCAGGCGACAAACTAACCGATAGACCTATTGCCCAGCAGATATGCATAAGGAAATGAAGATGGATTGAGTATACGCTGGGACAGTTGAGATACATCCTACTCCATGCCGTCAAGTGGAACTCGGAAGGTAAGCGTCCACGGCTGACTGAGGAGGAAATATAATCTTGTGGACAGTAGTGGAGCCAGTTGAAAATGATAGCAAAAATCTTAATACACTGGAGGTGTGCTGTTATAAAGCCTTATGTTCCACTGGGAATGAATACCACTCTTCAAGTAGTTAGTAAATCATAAATATCTTATTGAGGTAGTTATATGCTTTCTCAGTTAATTATCCAGACTTACATCAATTAGCGATAGTTGTTCTGTGAGTGTCTTCAATTTCTCAGTTAAAGTTGCATTTCCAGTTAGATAAATGCCAATATATCACCCATCGAATTCTTTCTGTCTTTCTTTAATTTAGTCACTCTATTATAGACTAGTAGATCAGGGGTCTGAACTGAGAGTCGTTTTCCTAATTCTATACAGCCATTATCATTAAATCTTGTGCAGTAATATGTAGCATATGAATAAAAACATGAGTTTTACTTAGCTGCTCATTCACTAAAATGTAAGCATCGTTATAAAGTGTTTTTAAAGGATATATATATTTTTTTCAGTAGTTTATTCACAATGGAATGGGTAGGAATTCACAGACAATAGTGATTAGTCTCATTCCATTTGTAGGCTGTTGGCAGTAAATGTATGATGATAAGCGGAAACACAAGGAAGATGAAACATTGGACTGAATCAACTCCCTTTTTTAAGAATAATGCATTTTTTACAATGAGAGAAAAAGAAACAAAACGAATGAACAAATAAACAAACATTGAACAGTAAAATATAAATAGAAAATTAAATAAGTAAATTATAGTTGAAGATCGTGTATACATGCCCATTTATATATTAAAACTCTGAATCATTGCATTTAAACAAAATGTGTTATGTATGTCCACAGATTAATTAAGAATAAACTGTTATTGATTATATACTATTTCAAAGCAGTAAAGACTCGTTTGAATTAGGTGTAAATAACTTTGTAGTCTGTTTGTGAATTGACTCACCACTACTGAAATATTGTTCAGCATATTTATGATCAGTAGACTTTGAATTTAGTTGGCCGGCATTTATTGCAAACGATGATTCACTTGGAGAAATAAATGAATCATTGCTCTTCACCTGACAAGACGACAGAGGTGCATTCGAACTAGACTGAAGATGTGCATCGTCCGATGTTATATAAGGATTTGTTTGGAAGTATTTAATGAAGTCTGTGTTCTGGTGATTACCCTGAAGGTAGGAAATATCTCGAAAGTAATTTCTATGTTGTTGTATTTCAGACATTGATTCAAATCCCAACACATCAGACTTTGTATTACAGTGTTGTAAGGAGTCTGTAAATTTAGGCGACGAGCAGTCATTTGACGGGTAGAATCCTAGATGAGAATTGGGATAGCAGGAATATTCACTGGCATCTTGATGAGTAATAGACTCATTATTTTGCCATAGATTGAGTGGTGCGTTATTTCCTTCTTCAGTATAGCTGCTGCTTTCTGTCAGATAAGAGATGTCAGATCTTAGATTTAAGTGATCTTCTACAGAGCTTGTTGGTGTGACAGGATTTCTATGAAAAGAAAGGTAAAATTAAAATAAGATATTTTTTTAATCTTGCACTCGGTAACTGAGTACATTCTGAAGTACAAATGGGCCTCATTTTCAAGGAGATTTTAAGATTTCAATAAAATGAACTAGATAACCAGTGAGAATCAGTTAGCATGAGACAGTTGCTTTTTGAAATAGTAAAGAAGATTTTTATTTTCAAGTATTGATTCTGTAGGGATTTTGTTTGATTGTATGGAGGATTTCATCATGAGCTGACATCAGTTAGAGAACCACTGGAAAACCTGGGAGTACTGGTCAGCTGTTTCGTCCTAGTTTGTGACTCTTCAGCAGTGCGCATCCACCGGGATTCGAACCCAGGACGTTCTGGTTACAAGGCGAGCTCGTAGACCATTGAGCCACTGGGACCCGATCCAATGGTCCTTGAATTCTAACTTCTGCCGATTCATGACATAGCGCGACCATTTCGCAATGTCTTCTTCGATGAGTTACTGCCTCATCTTCAACCTGCTGTACCCTACTGGTCTTGGGTGGATGTTGTTGGCGATGTTGTGTTCTCTCATAAGAATGATTTGATCACGAAACCTTCATTGTCATTCTGGATAACCAAACCATCCAGCTTAGATAACACAACAACACCAAATACAGTTGTTTTTGACAAACTTTGCTTTCCGTTGAGTAATTTCCATTTTTGTATGTGAACATTTTATATATATATCATATTTATAAATCGATGACTAGTTGTTTTGTATCTTGAAATCATTATGAGCTAAATCGGCTGTAACATGGATAAGACTGTCGCTGAATCGTATAAAACTCAAAAGACGGTAAAATTGAAGAATTTTATGATGTGTAAAGTGAAAACATTGTCCAGAGTAATAACAGGGTAAAAAATATTGTCTAAACTAAACCTAAACCACAGTCCTGGGGGAGTGGAGGCGGTTAAGGTGTTGGCAGTATATTTTTCCACACGTACTAAATCTTTTGAATGAAATAAAATATTTCTAAAGAAGTCTCAAGTAAATATAACTTTGTCTGTGCATCCACCCTTGTCATTTGAAAAGACAGCTATTAGGAATCCAGTTTCCTTTAGACAAATCTTACAAAATAACTTTTAACTTTACCGCAGTCAAAAAATACCCCAACCATCCAAATATATGAACTGCTGTTTTGTGACATTGTAAATATTGATTGTTTCCCCGGTCTGTACATCTGATAGTCACTAACAATCAGTCAGAATTGTACAACTGGAACGTCTTACCTACCGTGTTTCTGCTAGTCGTCTATTGATGAACAGTATTTCATTTATTTATCTGCATAGTTGTATGAATAAAAATCAAAATACTTTCACACCGTGAACTTACTTAATTTCGTATATCAGCGGTACATTTCGATCCCTTAGTGAACTATCATCTATGCGGCCTACCGTCGTCTCTGAAGAAAGAGAAAACACAGAAATTAATTCTTAAAATATCAGTTTCTTATTTGAAGAAAGTTTATCATAATTAGATCTGTAAGAAAGGAAGCTGAATGATTCTTTTTTGTATAAGACTGAAAAAAAAGACTTTATTTCACCTCTTTTTCTCTGTTGTTGACATCCATCAGCAAAAAGTACTTACAAGTTTGAGTATCACACAGCGCTGTGTATTGATGAGAGATACCCAGCACCATCATTATTTCAAACAAAAAAATTTTAGTAGTAACTGATGCAAAGGGGAAAAAGTAATTATAGCTCCGATAAGTCATAATGATTTAAGCAGACTCCTCACCTAGGGCTAATTGCATGATTTATAGTGTAGCTGTATTGTTTTTGTATGAAAAGTGTCTGCAAATTAACATTCACTCGACTGTTAGTGAAAATGAAGTGTATTTCTTTGTCATACATTCCTCCCAGTTCTGCACTGTACCTTACTGAATACAACCTAAAAATAGGTGAAAAGTTCCGCCCTAAGCCGGAATTCATGCAAAAAGTGAGCAACACTTTTATGTTGTGCCTAATAATTGTGTTTAAATTTCTCAACAGGGTTGACATTGTATGACAGAATTCTAGTAGGCCGAAGGAAACAAGAAATGTCTGAGAGTAAACATCCCATATAATGGTGGATCGTCTTGTCCGTGACACAGATAAATCAAATGGAGGAAACTTAATGTCAAGGTAATTACTGGTTGAATAATACATCTCACATTATGTGAAATAAGTTATTCTGTCTAGTTATCTAAGATATATTCATCCTTATGTCACAAGTGCATACAATTATTGACCTAGTCGTTTTCGTTTAATTCACCAGACATCTTTTGACGAAAGCTGTCAGGTGAGCTAAATAAATGTAGGTCTCACCTTACTTACAACTTATCAGCTAGAAGTAATCCTGTAAGTGCCAATATTTGTCGATCTGTTTTATAGATATTCAGCAACAGACAAGCAGAATTGTATGGTAGTCAGAGGAAGAAAATTTGGCTCAAGGTTTCGTATGGTTTATAATTAGAAGTGATGTTGGTTGATTCCACTTTGTACGATGAATTTTCTAAAAATGACCATCATTTTGATAATGCCGACCTCCATTTGGAAACCAGATGATTCCAGATAGATATCATCTGGTAAAATCTTAGTAACCTTGAGGATGACTCAAGCACACTGAATTTTTAATGTCGTAAATCAAGTAAAACTTTACAGTCAAATGACTCTTCCTTTACCACACAGTTAACTGACATTTAACGGACGTGAATAAGAACAGTGAGCTGTGCTCAGAGAGTATCACTGTGTGGTTTATGCACGAAATTACTCTATTATATTGTATACTATATTGTCAAAATTCTTCTCTCAGAGGCTACATTTGTTGTTCTGATTCTAATTAATTCACACTGAAATGAACCAGGGAGGCATATTCAAAAGCAATCTATCACAATATTGTGCCCACTGTCCAAAAAGAATGAAGAAGAGATTGGTATTCATAACGGGAAACCTTCACTAGTACACATCCGACAGATACTCTTTTCAAGACAGATCACGAACTGACTTCAGTTAGAGAATGATAAGAAATAAGAGAGTGACGAGCAGCTGTTTCATCGCAATTCGGGATTCTTGATTAGCACGCATTGCCTAGCCGAAACAGAGGTTGAACCCAGGAGCTTAAGGTTACAAGGCGAGTTGGTATCTCACTGAGCTACTGGGACGGAATCCAATGATCCGTCGATTCTAACTTCTGTCGATTCAACATATTTATGTACACATATATAGGGAGAGAGAGATCCATCGCCAACCACTGTCACAGGCGAGTATTTATCCTCACACCCAACTTAGTGGATCCCGTTGGTCACGACATCTCACTGGAACTTCGGGCAAGTAGGTCCCAAGCTTGATGGATGCGTATTGATGAATAGTCCTTAACAAGCATAAAACGGCTTTCCAGCACTTCGTGACTTCCAATGGTCCTCTAACTGAAGCCAGTTCATAATAAGTCTTGAAATGACAGTCTGAATAATGTGTAACACGACACAATGACAATTAAAACTTCTGACAAAGTCGTTCAGTGTTCAATTGTGATGTTTACATTGAGTAAATAGCTACAATTCAGAGGAAAATGTCGTGACTAGATTACTGTCATATTTTTTAAGCCAAATACTATATTAGTACTTTCCGTGGCGCCAAGTTCAAATCCTCACAATCTCAGAAATGTACTTAAACTCAGATAACAATGAAATTATGCAAATGAAAATCTGACTGTAAATGGATTTTCTACACGTCTTTAATCTGTTAGCTAATGAATAGTAAAGCTGGATGGCAATCGACCACCATTACTTTACATATTCATGGGGTACATAATACGAAATTAACTCCTGATTGATTTGTACATTTCGCTAATTCAATCAGAGTGAAACCAATGCTGAATTACATGTATCATCATAGCTTTTGCCAACGAAATCATCTCAGCAAAGATCTTTATCTGAGAGAAGTATTACAGGCGTACAAAAATACAGTTATATGCGTATATAACAATTTAAAAGTTATTCGATTTAATGGTTTTTGTTACCGTCGTTAAAAGATGGAATTCACCTTAAGAATTTGATGTATTTTAGCCATAAAATCATACACCTAACTATCAGATCAATTTGCATGCAAATGATGAAATTAGAGGATAAATATAATAAACTGAAATAATAAGAAATTTCAGATCAAGGAGGGTAATCAAGATGGGATAATAATCAGTTAATTGAGAAACTACTCTTGGTAATATGATAAAGGATAGTTAAATGTAAAGAGAAATAATTTCTACGCAAACAAATGCAGCTTTATTTTACGAACAGCTCTCAATTCCGCCAATTTATAATAAGTATCTGTTTAAAAATCATTCAGAAACTGTTTTAACAACAGTCCTGTATGATTCCCTTTTTTAACAATTTTATCTGAGATTGCTAAAGAGAGTGTTTCAAATTATTGAATAAGTATAATAACCACAAGTAGATGGCTGGGATTTCTTCTAGTGCGAATGTATGGATGATAAATGTACACTGATACTGACAATATATAAATTCAGAGAAAAACCTGAGAGATGGATAAATAAACGTACCATAATTTGAATATGACAATGAATGTAGGGGATAGTCGGGCTTCATCGATTTCTGAGAAGATTGTACTTGAGAATATTGATTTTCAGTGAATGGCTGTAATGTGTTTAGTTCTTTTGGATTGTTAACTGCATTTGATGATAGAAGTTGACGATAATTCAGACAGTAATTCGGTTTTGACAATGACATTTTGGTTAACTGATCAAAGTTATACGGTTGATTATAATTCGGTGTTAATGGTGCATCGACTTTGTTCATGGGAGCATTAGTATTGAAAAGTTCATATTGTGTTCTCAATGATGAATACGTTTGCGTGAAACTCGAATTCAGTGTTTGCGGCAAATGTGAATCTGGGAATTGTTGTGTACACACACTACTATTACTGCTGTTACTGCTACTGTTGTTATGACTGAGTGTGTTGTTCCTATTATTACTGGAATACCAAAATTCTGAATCTGGAAAGGAATGTGTTGCGTAGATCTTGTCACTGCTACTATTACTACCACTAGTATTACTGTTGCCAGTGACAGGAGTGGTTGTAACTATATTACGGCTCAGTTTCGTAGCCCGACTACGGCGTCTCACTTGTGTTGCATAGTTATCTCTAGCAGACCAACCAGGATAAAGACGTTGATGTATTTCCTTTTCTTGTTTTGCTAGTTTATAATATTTTGCCTGAGCTTCGCGTGTCAATGCATGCCACTTTCTACCTAATATCTGATTAATCGCCGCAGACTCCTTTAGTGTACACTCAGCGATAACTTGAGCACGCATCTCTTTCATAAAAAGCATGAATGCATTCAATGGCTTCTTAATATGTCCATTATATTTGATTGAGCGTTTATGTGGTTCTGACTTATCTGTTAACTTGACTTTTTCTTCAACATTTACTTTTTGTTTACTAACATTTGTATTTAAGTAGTCACCTGATGATTTCATAAATTTCTGCATGGTGAACGTATCATTTGGATGGGTGAATATGTTGTCGTGTAGTTGGTGGTGAAGGTTATTATGATATTGATACGGTTTTGATTCATTCGTAGCTAGGTGTTCTACACTGTTATTGGCAGCTTTACAGCTAACACACTCGGTTATAGTGGAAGCTGATGGTGCTGATAATTCGTTGAACATACTTCCTGTTTTGTTTGCTGTTGTGACTATTGGTTCACAATTTGGTGATAATGTGCTAAAGGACGGAAAGGAAATTGAGGTAAGGAATATCGTCAGAATGTAGCGTATAGTGTGAATGTCAGCCGATTACTCTAATATTCTGCGCAAGTGATACATATCAGAACACCGTAGGACTTTGACCTTATTATCTCATCACGAACTCAGTAAATCCAACTTGCACTGCAGATGACGTCTATATTGAAGTCGAAATATCTGCTCATGAAAATTCGAGTTTAGAAAATAATGAGACTTACAAAAAATCGACAACATAATCTGTAAATATTTACTACCATATGAAAATACAATATACAAAGTCGAATATGGTGTTCAACGCCAATGGTGTTAAGAATATGGTAGTATCTGATAGAAAAGACAAATGAACTCCCTATCTCTCACTGATTAGATCACATGACTCTTAACTCATACTACGCAGTTAACGAGGACTCTTAATTAGGTACTAAAAATGAAAGCAATCTGATTAATTCTTCGGCCTGAGCTTGATGCCAAATATGTGCTTACTTCAACCTAACTAAAGGCCCATAGTTTAATGCAAGTACTTTACAATTAAAAGTCAACCGCACTTGTTTTACTCGAAATACTATGGGATTCTACTTCTCCGATTAGAGTGTTACCGAATTCTAGGTGTGACTGTGATTATACATAGGGGTATTCAACGAGACCAATTAAACTAAGCACTTGAAGACTGCAGTACATTATACTTCATTTGAACTGATTTCAACCGAGGAAGTTTACTTTCTTATACACATCTAAAAGCATTCCAACAGATTCCGTCTAGCCTCTTCAAAGCTTTCCTGTGAAGATTTCTTCCTAATAATATTTTAAGTAGACGAGGTATATTTAATAATGATGAAAGGATCTCACCAACACCATACACTGAACTGGAATAAAAAATGTGTTAGTTTGCAATAGTCCTGTAAACTGTTTTGGTTCAAGATAAGAAGCCTTCTCAATCCAGAATACCTTTTGAAGACATTTAAAGTCTTCCGGGAATTCTTTCACTATAAATTATATTTCCATTAAAATATCAAAATCATACTAATGCCTAGAATGAAAATCTAAACACAATTGTAGCAAGTATGATTTCCATGCCAAACAGACTTGAAATTGAAGTATGCACTAAAGATATTGCCTAGTAGGGCAATGAAAGCTTCACAAATAAACCAATCAGCTCAGAGAACACAACTACATCAAAAAAAGAGTTCGCATTATTCATTTCTCATATCATTAAAATACTATCGTATCCAAATCCCCACAGGTTTTAAATGTTGAAGAGATAAAATGTCAAACAACCGGAATCCTACCCTATTTATCGACTATATCATAAATATTCCGATGTGTGCATTGAAAACTGTCTAGGAAAAATTCTACCTCTGAATCCAGTTTAACTGTTATCAGGTTACGGTGTTTTTCCAACTTGTTCTCGGTGTTTTTCGAACCAAAAACAAGAAGACAGTGTTTGGATAGTGGATTTAAGTCTTTTGAAGTAGACTAAGAGTTACAGATGTTAGCACAAAAGTGTTTCTTAGTATAACTTACACACCTTACACTGTTACATAACGTTAGCAACAGGACTATATAATTACTAATCATATTTAGTCGATGTAAATGCAAAACAGGTTAACCAATGACCTAAAAGCGGTTTAATTTTGTTCATGGTTCCATTTCAGAATTTTTCTTTAATGGGAATGGAAATTTAAAAGATATGTATATATATGTGCGGAATATTCTACAATGATCGTCGTTAACAACATTCATGCTTTTCTAAATAATATCGGTTCAAGAAAGATTCATAAAAACAAAGAATTCAGCGGAGAAAATTCTCTTTTTGACGATTTTATTTTCATAGCCGTATCATCGTATATATATCTATGTATATATATATATATATATATATATATATATATATATATATATATATATATATGAATTAACTTAATACTAAATAGAAAATCAAATAAATATTCTCCGAAAAAACGATAACATTTTAATTAAAAAAACAGCCTGATAAGAGTCCAGGAGTGGTAATCATGAACAAAACAGACCACTTCAAGAAGATGATTACCATTCTTAATGATCACCTAAAAATTTCAAAAACTTTCATCCTCTCTGGATTCGATTGAAAAGATTAAGCAACAGTTAGATGAAGCATTAAAAAGATTGAAACAACTAGTGTGTATCTCACAAAGTTTGTATGCATTACTAAAACCCACTGGTACGCTCACACCGAGACTATATGATTTGCTAGAAGTGCACAAAAATGGTTTTCCACTTCGACCAGTACTAGATATGTTAAACTCCCTATACCATCCTATGGCAAAATGTTTGGTCAAACTCTTAAAGTCTCTCCATGCTGGACTGGTGAAAAACAAGGTGAAAGAGACAATTAGATTTGTTGAGAGGATAGATTTAAATGTTAACAATAAAATTCATGATATCCTTTGACATATTTTCCTTATTTATAAATGTACTACTTATGGAAACAGCAGACTTCAAATACAACGAAGTTATTAGACTAAACATCGACATTGGCATTCCTATATCTTTTATGAAAAAGCTTCTTTTGAAATATATAATGAATGTTCATTCTTTTTTATTTAATAAGGAATTATACAGACAAATTGATTGTGTGGCAATGGGGTCGTCACTAGGACCGATTCTAGATGACACTTTCCTTGTGAAACTAGAGAATATGCCTTTGAAAGGTGTAATTGATGAACTAGAATTCTATTGTTGGTACATGGATGATACATTTTTGATTATGAAAAATGATGACGAAGCAAAGACCATTTTTGACAAACTTAACGATATGCATCCTACAATAAATTTTACAGTCATTGCCAGACGTCCTTATGACTCGATAAGAGGATTGTACAATAAGAAGTGTATATAGCAAACCTACATCAACTAGTCAGTATACTCATTTTTTTCAGCTGCGTACCTCTGAAATACAAATGCAAACCAAAAAGGTGTCCCGCAGAGCAAGAGCAATCTAATCTGATGAGTGACTCAATGAAGAGCTTATTATTATTAAATAGGTATTGAGTGAGAATACGACTCAAAAGCCAAGGCAAGCCAAAGCACCGACACTTCCGAAAAAGGCCTTGTTCTTACAACTTCAGATCCTCAGTGATAACACCAGTGAAATAAATAACACAGCGCTTAAGGAATGCAGTAAAAAGAGCATTCTCTGCTGCTGAATTACGCTGTATCTTCAAAACCACCCCTATTTCGCTTTGGGGAGTTAAAGATAAACTGCCTAATTTCGCCTCTTCCATGTGCATCTAGAAATTTAACTGCTTCTGTGGAGCCAATTACATAGGCTGTACAACTGGTGTGTTTCTCGTCGGATTTCTTAACATCACCCTGCGTAGTTTAATAAAGGACAAACAAAGTCCATTCATAGTTCTGTTCTAGCTCATCTTGTGGATACAGAACACAAGACTTATGTAAACAAGGCTTTCAAAGTCATCTACCGCGTACCGACTAATCTTAATTTTACCTCAAAAATTCGTCTTTTGCATACTACTGAGGCTTCAGGAATCCCCATTAAGAAGTCTAACTTATGCATCCAAAAGAAATTGGTTCAGACGCTTTCCTTACCTCGACCATCAGGGTTTTAATTATCCTTAATTTACGGTATTAATTTCCCTATTTTAGCACCACATTTTTATGCTCATTATAACTTATGCATCTTTCTTGAACTGAAATTCTATTAGTTTTAACAAATCGATATATTAATCTGTCGATACTATTGATTTAATGTAATTTAAAACAGTGATGTTATTAATAACTATATTTCTTTAATTATTACTGTCATATAAATGTAGGACCTGATGACGAATTTATCGAAAAGAATATTCTTGGTTCATTAATCAGTCTTTTAAATCGATATTATTTGAAAAATATCAATATTGCTAATGACGATTGTTCTAGAATACTTTGTATATATATATATATATATATATATATATATATATATACTGTACAGCTGGGTGACGAATCTATCGAAAAGATTCTATACTAGAACTTTTTCTTGTCTTCTAAATATCTGCATGGGAATCTTCACTAAATGGAAATTGAAATATTTCTTCTGAAGATTTAACTCACACAATGAAACAGTTAGAAAACTCATGTTTCCATTGTCTCAACAATTTCAGAGTTTACTTAAAAGTTTCATTTTGTGCACACTTTTTTCTCCGTTACAGCTGCATGAAGTCCACTAAATGGTAGCTCATTCCCCCCCCCCTGGATATCAGTATTGGATGATTGATTCAAATGGGTATTGTTCTAATCATCATCAGTGTGTCAGGGGGGGGGGGCACAGTCCTCAAAATATGCATTTAAAGTGAGTGCCTGAAACACACTTATCTGACAGAAAAATTTGTCCAAAACACCAGTGTCGGCTACCACTTATTAGCCAGATTGTTTAGTTCAGTGTTTGGGCAGAATTTTGTCGCTCACCCATAAACAGTTGCCTGAGAAACCTTAAGCTATATCCTGAAACCCTCAGTTTTAACTAGCATACCTTAATGCATCAAATAAGCTGTGGACATGACTGTTTTAAATCTCCAAGTGTTGGTTTGTAGGGATTCGACAGATTTCGGGTTAGATCACTAAGTGACTTCAGTTAGAGGACCACTGAAAACCAAGGAGTACTGAACATCTGTTTTCGTCCATGTTTGAGACTCTTCATCGGCATACACCCCACACAGATCGAGCACATGAACTTCAGGTTATGAGGTGAGCCCGTTTTCAATGGTCCTGGTTACAGAACGACCATTCAACTTCTGGGATGGAATCCAGTAGCTTATGGGTACCAACTGCGAATCAATGTTGTCAGTGAGTATCTGTCCTCGCATCCAATTTGACAGACCCCAGTGGTCGCGACTTACCACTACACCTCCAGCCAACTACATCCTGTAGTCAGTCAGAAGCTAGCATTAGATTAACTTTCATGTGTCTGAAACTTTGGTTATCTGCTTTCATACCGATGGC